CCCCAAAACCCCAAAACCCCATGTTGATAAATTTATAAGATTCTGAGCAAAAAATAATAATTAGAAATTTATTATACTATTAAAATGTTTCCTAGAATTTCAAAATTTTCAAATGTCTCAACTACATCCTCAAACATTAATTCAAACTCTACCGCTTCAGGAAATACCTAATAAAGGAGAAATGATAGTTCAAATATAAGAAATTTACTTTTCGGAGGCTATGAAGAACCAGTTTCATAAGGGATGGTGTAAGCTACTCCTCAATAACTAAACAATAAGATTACAAATGAATCTACTAGCACAATAGACCACACTCCTACTACTAAGTAAAACAATCAAAGTCACATAGATATAAAACAGAACTAAGCACTTTAAAATATGGAGATGATAGAGAATAAACTGAACTCTAAATTGGAAGAAATTGAAAAAATGTTCGTTGATAGATAAGGATCTGCTAAAATTTCTAGTCCTTTAGTCTAAGGAGGTCTATATCAAATTGAAAACCAAAATGTAACTTTAGATTAATTTGATGAGGTAGCTGAATAATCTAAAGTACAATAAAAGGGTGGAAAGAAGGAGGAAAAAAAAGTGCCGGCTAAGAGACAGGCAAGTGCAAATAATAGGAAAGTAGCACTTCCAGATAAAAAGCCACCTTAAAGACAACCCTCATTGAATTAATAGTAGAGAGCACAATAATTTTTAGAATAGCAGATGCAATCAAAGAGCAAGGCTAATTTCAACCCATAGAAATAAATCGAGCCTGATTAAAACATTATTAAGAATGCTAGAGCAACTGGCATGATTAATCAAGATTTAACTTAAAATAAGTTACCTCCGAGAAATGGACCTGTCAAAGCAAAAGAGCAATTTATGACTAATTTGATTAGTAACAATATAGAGGATTCTTAGTAGTTATCAGAAATTTCAATGCATGATTAGAGAACTCCTTAATAAATTAAACAAATAAATACTTAAACGAGCAAAAAGGAAATTAAAACAATATAGCCATAGCAAAGTGCAAATAATGTTGAATTTGAAAATTTAATTGAATAAATGGATCGATAATTATAATTAAAAACTACAGAGAATACAAAGTTAAAAAAGAAAATAACTTCTCTTGAAAAATAGATTGTTGCTCTAAAGTAAGAAAATGATAAATAAATTGCATTACAAACTGCTCTCACAAAAGACGGTGGTCCTATTGAAAACACAGATGAAAGAAGAATAATGATTTTAAAAGCATAAAACGGTTAACTAACCAAGCATAATGCTTATCTCACTGAGACTCTGAAAAACTAAAAGAAAATTATGATTGAAGTTGATCACATTTTAACTGATCTGACAACAATGTGTAAATCTTTAGATTTAGCAAAGTTAGAAATAAAAATACCTGATATCTTGTAATACTCTATTTTCTTTTATATTTTTATTTGTAGATAATTAGCTTAAGGTATGAAAAAAAGACTTAAATCAACTTCTCAAGTGGAATAGAAAGACTTTAATGCTAGGAGGTTTGAACAGGACAACCCATTCTATATAACCAAATAAGATACTTAGTTTGCGAACAAATACGAGGCAGATGATGAAAATGGATAATAAAATGTTATATTCGTGCTTAACAGGGAAAAAATATTAACTGTAATCATTTTTTTTAATTTTACTATTATTTCAGACTGAATAAAAATTAGCCCTATTACTTGAGAACTCTATTGATCTATATCAAAGATGCTTTCTTAAAAATAAGGTTCCAAATTCAAACTAATTCCTCAGATTTTGTGAAGATCTTAGACAGAGTGTTGAGTCATTATTGCTTCTTGGTATAGCAATTAACCCAGATGATTCATAGGAGGTGTCATTGGCTGATAGAAGTAAGCACTAGGCTTTGAGAGACTATGTTGAAAGAAAACTTATCACAAAGATCCATCTAGACAAGCATGTGCTGATTACTAAGTCTCATCCTAAGACTTGCAAAATCATGAATAGAGAATTAGTGGACCATCTTAATGATGTAGCTTTTTGGAACAATAGCAAAAAATCAGAAAAATAACAGGAGTTGTAGAGATTTGTAAGCAAGGTCTAGTAGGGTGAGCTAGGCTATCTAATTGAAATTTATTTGAAGCAGTAATAGATTAATATACTCAAAGCTTAGTTCGGAAAAATATTCAATCATCTAAACATTCTAAAATAATGGTTTAGGAAGCATGTTACCTCTGTGATAATAGAAGATGTAAGGTTTAACGTATACGAGAAATTCTAGGATCTAGAGAATATTTATAGAGAAGCTGATGAAGAAAATCTATAAGCATCCTAAGTCAAGTTATGGTCTGTTTTCAATTTACATTATTCTGATATGATGAAGGGGTTAAGGAGGGTAGTTAATATTGATGAGAATCAAATAACTGGAGGATTCAATTATAGAGAGTAAGAGGAAGGTGAAATAGATATTAAAACCAGTGATGGCTACATTGAAAAATTATCTAGAGCTTTTGAATAGAGATTTGATGAAGCTAAAGAGATTATTATGAACTGGACAGAAATATCTAAAACTTAAAAATTCTGATTTTAAATTAATTCGACTATCAAGAATAAAAATAGATAAGTTGGGGTTTTGGGGTTTTGGGG